AAAAACTCTTTAGCAATACACACCAAACTGAGCATGTGCAGAGTGACTCATAGGGCTCTGTACTATCAGCAAATGGATTGGGGACTGTGGAAGAAGGGGAGGATCAGAGAAAACAGTATCAAACAGCCTTTTTATATTATGCGGAGGATTACCCCTTAGTTTCCACAGTGAGTATAACAAGCTTGCTTTACTGCATATACAGACTGATTTTACTGTTGCGGGTTAAATAACACTTTAATTATTATTATTATAATACAGGATTTATATAGCGCCAACAGTTTGCTCAGCGCTTTACAATATAACAGGAGACAATACAGTAACAATACAGTTCAATACAAGAGGGTTAGTAGGGCCCTGCTCCTTGGAGCTTACAATCTAAGAGGGAGGGGCTAGTGGTACAAAAGGTAATAACTGTGGGGGGTGGATTGATAGGAGGAAGAGAAGATTCCATTATTAGCTGAAGGCAGGATAGGCTTAGCTGAAGAGATAGGTTTTCAGAGATTGCCTAAAAGTGAGCAGAGTAGGCGATAATCTGATAAATTGGGGTAGAGGAGTTCCAGAGGATGGGAAGGCTTTGGAGAAGTCCTGGAGATGAGCATGGGAGGAGGAGACAATGTTGCAGAATGTTTATTTAGACCTACTCATTTACAGAACACATTGTCCTGATCAGCATATCAGGCACTCCCTTTAACAGGAACAATATTTCTCAACTGTGAGTGATACAACTTTTAGCAGTTCTTAAGCATGGGTACCCCTCAAGGCCCTCAACTGTTATAAGTCCAGTATCAAGCTCTGATGAAGGGGGGTCCTTTAAACCCCCCAAACAGCTGGCTTTTTTGGTATTAGAGTCTGAAAGAAAAAAAACAAATTGGACTTTATGCAATTTGTTTTTGGCACTTTCCACATTGGAAACCTAGTACCTCCACAGACAGCCATTAGAGCCCTTCTCTGCATTACTGTACTGCAAATACAAGGTACCATCGTGAACCCCCCCCCCCCCCCCCGATGAGTCCATGCTGCCCTGCACTCACAGGAAGTGGATTAAATGATGCTGGGGACAGGGGCGGACTGACCATTTGGAAACTCGAGCACTGGCACTGCCTGAGGGCCCGGGGTCAGTAGGGGGCCCCATGAGATGCCCCTGGTACCTTTTTCATAGGCTTTTTTGAGTTTGGGCAAGGACACAGGGGCCCCATGATCCCCTATTGCCCCGGGGGCCCCATGAGTTGTCAGTCCGCCCCTGGCAGGGGATTATTCAGCCTGAAAGGGCACTGTTGCTGGATAACTTGAGCTACAAGAGATCATTTTTTTTAATATTTTGTAGAATAGAGCTGCTACATTTTAAAATAAAACCTAAAGCTTATATTGGGCTTGACACGGTGAATAATGAAATAGAAACCCCTTATATATTAGTAGAATAGAAAAATTATGAATATATCAGTAAAAAAAAATAATTATTACCTTTGTAAATAGGCCTCTGATTGCTTGCTATGGCATATACTTTGCATATCACCACTGCCCTTTATTCACCTTACTGAACGTATTTGTACAAGTGAATGAGATTTAATGACATTATCCTTTTTTTTTTACTGTCACTACATATCACCCTGAGCCGGCTCCTCAGGTAATGTGCATGGTACTATTTGGCTCTTATAAGAAAGGCGATAAAAGCCATGCATTCACAATCTGAGATCTGCATTAAATATGCACACAGATAAAGGGCAGCTCACCCAAACGTGCACAGTCTAATACAGAGAATCTATTACATTTATAATCACCAAATGCGTCTATAAAGCAGGGATAGGAAAAGATGGGGAGGGAGAAGAGATTACAGTGCTGAGAAACACATTCACTGCTGCTGGAATTCTCTGCTACTGACAGCCCATTGTCTAACCAAGGAAATAAATGGAAATCTTATCTAAAATGTAGTGAATTATCTTTCCTATGATATGTGGTCATCACCCAGCAGAAACATTTGTGATAGACTCTGAATCAGGTTACAGAGCAAGATTTTTTAAAATAAATTGTGAATGTTCATTTTGTATGAGGATTTTGCCCTTACTTGATTGTCCTGGAAAGTTCTGCTATAAGTATTCTCAGTAAATGAATCTGTCTTATCCCCATACATATAGGAACATGAACAGCAAGGTGTTAAAGGAAAAGTGGAGGAAACAAAGTAAGACCCACTGTGTAGTATGAAAAAGGCAGCCTTGACGTATGTTTAAAAAAAATGTTCTTAGGTGAACTGGAATCTGACATTTCAGATTTCACTTGAAGATACACCTACATCCAAATCTGAGCTTAAACATGTTCTTTCAGATATGACAGCAGTCTATCAGAATTCATCATTGCTGTACCAAAGAGCAGTCATCAGCCAAGAAACCACTCAACCATTTTACCCATACATGAGACAGTGATTCTGTTTGGCTAAAATCAACCTGACCAGGCTTTGATAGTTTTATATCTGTGGGTATCATAAAGTGACCTGTTGGGAGTCCCGGTTTGCTACTAGCTCCCACCAAGCTGGCCAAGGGTCCAGACCCTCTTTTTCTTCAGATAGGGTTTGTACACACCTGTAAGGGGGGAAACTCTGCCATATTGTTACTCACATTCTCCTGGCTGGAGGCCCACCTCTATTGCTGTACTCAAATTCTCCTGGCCTGAGATCACCTTTAAGGGAAGGTCCACACCAGTAGCCATTTAATGTTTCAATAAATAAATATTTCATAACTGTAAAACAACCCTTCGTCTTCATAATTTCAGTTGCAGTAGTACAGAACATGACAGAGTAATAACACTGAGCCAAAATCTGCTCAACCATCTCTCCCACATTTCACTGTGATCCCCTCCTGCAGTGGGTCCATTCCAGAGTCTCTCGGCAGCCAAGCCTTCTCCTCCCAGGCTATAAATTTACATGATGTATATTAGGGGTAGTCTGTTCTCGTATGCCTTCTGCCTAAGACTCTTCCATTACTAGAATTTAAAGGGGCTCAGTACTCTACCCATTAACATCACCTAGATTCAGCAAACGAGATTCTAGTGTCTGCCTATAGACCCACGCTGCAATTCCTCTTACTGACCCATAATAGTAAGGGGCTTTTCACCTGAACACATGGAGATCCTATCAGTAACAGCACTTGGTCTTGGTCTTGCAGTTATATTACTATCAGTCTACCACACTCACATTGGCCATTGGATTGCCTGTCAGGCCACCCCTTGAGAAAGTCACTCTTTGGCAAAACACATTGGAAGGAAACGCATGCTATCCATGTTTGACATACCTTAACAGCGAAGATTGATGGTATTGTATTGGTTGTATTGATGTCGGGCTATGGAGTATATGTGAATGAGCTTATTCACTGGTGCAAATTAAGCACATGGATGTATTAGTGCAAATGTTTTTTCATGATTTTAATGTTTTTTTTATTAAAATAGTATCATGCTATTGGTTCTTCTTTTGTTGCAATTGTTTCAGTTTTAATTTTTGACCTTTTGTTTTAGCAGCTCTGTACACATTGTCTTTTAACATTTGTTTGTATTTGTTCACTATTTCTGTATAGCAACAGTCACACAATTTAGCGCAGAACATTTTTTTTCATACATTATTAGCAGCTGATTATTGTTTACTTTAGAATTCTACAAGGACATACCGAATTTGTTCCACTTCAGAGTATGGCTGCATTGTGTGATGTGACTGTCACTCTTTGGAGATACGTTGCTGACACTGCACTTGTCATATACTGCTCGTTATTAAACAACATGGTGCAGGATGTGCAAACAGAGGCTGCGAGTTTCTGACAAGAAATGTGGGATATGTATAACACACAGTACAATTACTTAAAAAGATGTCAACAAGCTGTTTTGCCCTGTAAAACTACTGGGCACATGTTAAACACTGATCAATCATGCAGATGTAATCTGTCAAGAAGGTGAAGAACTAAAAAAAAGAACACTTTGTAGAGCAGCATGCACTGATTTCCCCAGGTAGAATCGGGCATATCCTCAAACATCAAAACAACGGTTTGAACTCTAAAGACTTTAGCAGAAACTTCCTGACATGAAGGAATGTTCAATAGTCTAGACAGTCATTTTAAGACCTAGACACAATTAAAGGACCCGTCATAAAAAGACTCTTAATGGATGTCACACATCAGATTAAATCATAATACAATATCTAAAAACAGTAAGGCCAAGTATAAACACACACACATATATACTATATTGCGAAAAGTATTGGGACGCCTGCCTTTACACGCACATGAACTTTAATGGCATCCCAGGGTATTCACAAGGTTTAGGAGTGTGTCTATGGGAATGTTTGACCATTCTTCCAGAAGCGCATTTGTGAGGTCAGGCAATAATGTCTGATGAGAAGACCTGGCTCACAGTCTCCACTCTATTTCATCCCAAAAGGTGTTCTATCGGGTTGATGTCAGGACTCTGTGCAGGCCAGTCAAGTTCCTCCACCCCAAATTTGCTCATTCATGTCTTTATGGACCTTTCTTTTTGCACTGGTACCCAGTCATGTTGGAACAGGAAGGGGCCATCCCCAAACTGTTCCCACAAAGTTGGGACCAGGAAATTGTTCAAAATGTCTTGGCATGCTGACGCCTTAAGAGTTCCCTTCACTGGAACTAAGGGGCCAAGCCCAACCCTTGAAAAACAACCCCACACCATAATCCCTCCTACAGCAAACCTTAAGCATGGCACAAAGCAGTCAGGCAAGTATCATTCTCCTGGCAAGTGCCAACCCAGACACATCCATCAGATTGCCAGACAGAAAAGCGTAATTCGTCACTCCAGAGAACAGGTCTCCACTGCTTTAGAGTCCAGTGGTGGTGTGCTTTACACCACTGCATCCGACGCTTTGCATTAAACTTGGTGATGTAAGGCTTGGACACAGATGCTTGGCCATGGAAACCTATTCCATGAAGTTTTCTACACACTGTTGTGCTAATCTGAAGGCCACACTAAGTTTGGAGGTCTTTGGCTACTGTCTCTGCAGACAGTTGGCGACTTCTGTGCACTGTGCGCTTCAGCTTGTGTTGACACCGCTCTGTCATTTTAAGTGGCCTACCACTTCGTGGCTGAGTTGCTGTTGTTCCCAGTTGCTTCCACTTTGTTATAATATCACTAACAGTTAACAGTGGAATATTTAGTACCAAGGAAATTTCACGGATGGACTTATTGCACAGGTGGCAACCTATCATGGTACCATGCTTAAATTCACTGAGCTCCTGAGAGCGACCCATTCTTTCACAAATGTTTGTAGAAGCAGTCTGCATACCTAAAATAACCTATATTGGTGAAGCGCGTCACATAAAAAAACTAAATAAGTAGGTGCAATGATATCAAAATACATATAAAGTGACCACACTGTATTGAAAGGTATAGATAACTAGTGCTAAATAATCCCCCCAAAAAATATATAGTGCGTTTGCTGACTAGATCGTGCCAAAATACAATATATGCACAGTAAACATAATACCCAATAACATTGCACACTCTAACTGAAAGTGGAAAGTGCTCAGTATGGGTATGAATATTGGTTAAAAGTAAAATCCACAATAAAAGTGCCAAACAGGTCATGCGTTTGCTGACTAGACCGTGCCAAAATACAATATATGCACAGTGAAATAATACACAATAACATTGCACACTCTAACTGAAAGTGACAGGTGCTCAGTATGAGTATGAATATTGGTTAAAAGTAAAATCCACAATAAAGTGCAATAACAAAGTGCTTGATATTTCATGTGCAAACAAACACAGCGATGTCAGTGCTTCAATTCTTCACTCCAAACATGATGCGTGTTAGCATGCCACACGTCTATATCGTAATCCAAAAGTGGCTAAAGTGCCTCCTCACCTTAACCATGCGACCCCTAAGGGCCACAATGCTTTAGGTAATATAGCTCCACCAGACTGGGGATCTCTGTAATAATACTCCTGTAGTAGCACTCGATCTCCTCTGCCAGGTCACTTATGCCCTCAGATGGTGATACCCCCGGAAAATCACAAGGCCATAGAGAGGTAAACAAAGAGAGCCTCCATAGTGAAATGATGTTTATATTCCATATAGCAGATGAAAACAAGCCAAAAGAGAACACTCACAGTATAGCATTTATCCTGATGAAGCCACGTGATATCGTGGAGTAACGTGTAGAGCGCGATGACATACTTCCGGTTACGCACATTCGGGAGATGCCATCTTTGAACACCTAGCACCTTGCAGTACACCCAGAGCACATGGGAGACCAGCTGTATGAGATCCGCTATACTGGTTTTTCATGTCATATATCCTGTGGTATTGGGAATAGGTGGTAGCAGCTTGCATATATTTGGGGTTGTGTTTGTTCTTACCAGTGGAGCACAGGGGGATTATTTTTATATTAGTCTGAATACCTAAGTGCTTGATTTTATACAACTGTGGTCATGGAGGTGATTGGAACAACTGAACCTAATGATTTGGAGGGCTGGCCCAGTACTTTTGGCAATATAGTGTGTGTACACACACACACACACACACACACACACATATATATATATATATATATATATATATATATATATATATATATATACATACAGTTGTATTCAAAATAATAGCAGTCAGACATCACTAACTGGATCAATCACTGTTTTTGGTAGAAATGATATTTCTACATGGCAAATAATTTACTAGCAGGTGTAGTAGAGTAATAGAAATCCAACAGACCCAACAGTCATGACATGCATGCTGCTGATTCTGTGTAATTGAATCACTAATTGAAAGGGGCATGTTCAAAATAATAGCAGTGTGGAGTTCTAGTGAGGTCATTCATTCTATGAAAAAAAGGTGGCAATTATTGCCCTTATTTAAGGAAGGAAGGCAGCAAATGTTGTACATGCTGGTTACAGTGCATTTCTCTCTGAAATTCTGAGGAAAATGGGTTCGTTCCAGACATTGTTCAGAAGAACAGCGTACCTTGATTAAAAAGTTGATTGGAGAGGGGAAAACATATAAAGAAGTGCAGAAAATGATAGGCTGCTCAGCTAAAATGATTGCAAATGCTTTAAAATGGCAACCAAAACCTGAAAGACGTGGAAGAAAGCGGAAAAACTACCATTCGAATGGAGAGAACAACAACCAAAATGGCAAGGGCTCAGCAACAATCAGCTCCAGGAAGATCAAAGAAGGTCTAAAGTTCCCTGTGAGTACTGTTACAATTAGAAGACACCTATGTGAAGCCAAGCTATCTGCAAGAAGCCCCCGCAAAGTCCCACTGTTGAAAAAAAGACATGTGCTGAAGAGGTTACAATTTGCCAAAGAGCACATTGACTGGCCTAAAGAGAAATGGCGCAACATTTTGTGGACTGATGAAAGTAAGATTGTTCTTTTTGGGTCTAGTGGCTGGAGACAGTTTGTCAGACGACCCCCAAACACTGAATTCAAGCCACAGTACACTGTGAAGACAGTGAAGCATGGTGCGCAAGCATCATGATATGGGGATGTTTCTCGTACTACGGTGTTGGGCCTATTTATCGCATACCAGGGATCATGGATCAGTTTGAATACATTAGAATACTTGAAGAGGTCATGCTGCCTTATGCTGAAGAGGAAATGCCCTTGAAATGGGTGTTCCAACAAGACAACGACCCCAAACACACCAGTAAACGTGCAACATCTTGGTTCCAGACCAACAAGATTGATGTTATGGAGTGGCCAGCCCAATCCCCGGATCTTAATCCAATAGAAAACTTGTGGGGGTGACATCAAAAATGCAGTTTCTGAGGCAAAACCAAGAAATAGAGAAGAACTGTGGAATGTAGTCCAATCATCCTGGGCTGGAATACAGGTACCAGAAGTTGGTTGACTCCATGCAACACAGATGTACAGCAGTTCTCAGAAACAGTGCTTATACAACTAAATATTCATTAAGTGATTCAAATGAAAGCAAAATCTTCAAACATTTTTCAGTTTATATAGTGAATGTTTGAGTTTGTAAAGAAGAATACAAACACTGCTATTTTTTTGAACAGTCTAATAATCGCTTTTCTTCAATTTTGTTAGAGGAACAACACAAATTTGATATATTTTTCTTCATGTTTTGATTTGGAATTATTATTATTATACAGTATTTATAAAGCACCAATAGTTCGCTCACAGCTGTACATTACAAAGGGGGACAGAACATGTGACAGAACAATAACAATACAATGCAAAACATAGAATGTGTAGTGTTGCCAATGCATTTATGTGTATGGAAAAAAAGCTATTAGAAGGATTTTGAGCTTTATTCACTTTTTTCAACACACTATTATTTTGAACACAACTGTATACAGTATATATATATATATATATATTTTTTTTTTTTCTTTTATTTAGTTTCTGGGTTCCATTAAAAGCAAAAGTATTTCAATTGATTTTAACTAACCTATTGTGAATATTTGAATTCTGAAAATGAAAACAATGTATAAGGGGCTTTAGGTGTCCTCCAAAAAATATGTCAGGTGGCAAAATCAATACATATACTGAAAAAAAGAAAAAAGCATGTTTTTTTAAAAAATCTATATCTTTATTAACAGAGCTGCACCACCTGACCCTAACCCATATATTAAACAAATTAAAATAATCACATCCTCTGGGAGGTACTCATGAGTAGAGAAATACATATCAATTTAACAACCAAAAAAAAAATATTTTTAGAGTTTTAGATTTTTTAAAAAATGTATCTTCATTTAGAAAAGTAACTTGCTAGCTAAAACTTTAAGACAATATTCCTGCCAAAAAGTACAAGATAAAATAAATAAGCCGTTAAACATTAAAATAAAAAAAACAGCTTTTGCTGCAATATTCACTGCTAGCTTTCTGCTGCTAGATGTCCTCAGTTTGATGGCCAGTATTACTCAGCCCATTTGCTCCGAGCCCAGGTTGTGACTGGACAGTGAAATGAGAAGCAGCACATCGGACATGTCATTTTTTGTCTCTCTGCTGTCTTTTCCTAATAGCATACTTCTTGTCAGCACATGAGAAAATTAGTTCTTTGTGCCACTGCTTACTCTCACACATAACCAAAGCTGTACCTCAAGGGTGTCCAACCTGTGGCCCACGGGCCACATGCAGCCCAAGAAGGCTATGAATGCTGTCCAACACAAAATCATAAACTTACTTTAAATGTTTATTTTTTGGAGGATTTTTTTGTAAAAAAGTGTTTACACTTAGTGAACACATGCAAGCAAAGAAATATTTGACAGTATCTGATCTTTTATAAGTTTTATCTTTCCAAAGAAAAATATTCCACTCTTCACAATCACGCCTTATTCATGTCATCAGATTTCAGCAGCACCTGTATTTGTGAGCAACTATTTTTAAGGATTAAACACAAAGGGAAAAATTAGAACTAGAATATCTAATGAGCACCTTGAGAATAAATTGAGAATTGCTGCATACATTTAATGATGTATTAATGGTTACAGCTCTGTATAAGTGCATTTTATATCTGCCTAGAGCTCAGCTCTAAAGTGGTTCTCAAGGTTTTTTAGCTTCATGCTTTCTATTCATGAAGGTAAAAAAAAAAACCTGTGTGCAGCAGCCCCCCCAAACACTTACCTGAGCCCCCTGTTGATCCAGTGATGTCCTAGAGAGTTTCGGTTCTCTGGGGACTCTCACTCCTGATTGGCTAAGGCAGCAGCAGGAGCCATTGGCTCCCAATGATGTCAATCACAGCCAGTGAGCCAATCAGAAGTGGGAGGGGGTGGGCCAAACCATGGCTCTGTGTGTGAATGATCTGCTTGTAATAAAAAAAAAAAAAAAAAAAAAAAAAAAAAAAAAAAAAAGAGTGCAGCGCTATAGTGAAAAACATGGGTGACATGCAAAATTATAAAACAATAGGTGACTTGCAAATAATTAGTGCATAATTAACAATATGATATGATCAATCTCTTATGTATAGTGTCCAAAAATTGTAAATAAACGTCACATCAAGCGATTCTTCCTCCTAATGCACTCACCAGAAACATATAATGAATGCGCATTCAAAATAGAGAAACTCCTCCAGCAGGTCAGCCTTACCCACCGCCAGGTACAGGTAAAAGGTATGCACAGCTTCAATTCAACAAATACAGTTGGTTCCCCCAAAAGTTGGCTCGATTCTCGGAAGCAAAATGGCCCAACCTTGAAGGAAACAGCTCACAAAAAGAGACAAAACGAAACCGCTTATGGTGCAGTAAGTTTTATTAACCTCCCTAGCGGTCTAATTATGTCCATATTTCTGTGCTCAAAGTGCTACATTTTTTGCATGGAAATATGTCGTTTTTTTATTGTAGGCCTGTAATTTTTAGGAATAACTCGCTGAAATCTGTCCGAACAAGAGTCTAGTAAACATCCTGGGTATGTTAAAATTTGAAACACGAAATCATAAATTATAATTTAATAAATAATCATAAAAAATAATAATATAATAATACATTTAATTCAATAATATAATCAAACCAAAAACACTGAAATTTGAAATAGAGTGCCAAGTTCGCACATCACTGAGCAAAGTCGCAAAATCGTTTTCAGTGTCTGATGACGAATTTCCCCACGAATCATCACTCAATTCTGCAAGTAGTTGTAATTTACTATCGCTGTTCTCTAGCTGGTCTAAAACCGCTTTTGACCTAAAGGGATGCTTTTTAGACACCATGGACGTTTCTCAGTTTCAAGGCAGAAAGAACAGTAAAAATGCAGGCAGGGCACAGGACAAAGCACTGGGGACAAAATGTATGTGAAATGATTTGATACAGTAATGTTTTACTATGAGATTGTAGTGTATTTAGTGAATGTCACTTTTAAAATTTTCAAATTTCCCACCAGTTCCGTCCTCGTACGTCCAGACATCGCAGGGAACGGAACCCAGAAGACAGATGCCGGCATCGGCCGGAGAACATTGCCGGATCCTGGAGCAACGCTTCAGGGTTTTCCCGAGTGTAGCTCAGGGTTACCACTTGTAATGCTGAAACTTTACCCCGAGCTACACTCAGGAATACCGCCAGGGAGGCTAAAATATAAAGAAGCATCCGCGTGGAGAATAAAAACAAATGTAATCCACTTACAAAGATGACCGCCGGACCATCGTATGGACATGGCAGCGTGACATCAGTAGGTAGGCTTCTCCTGACGCATTTCGTACACACTCACATTATCAAAGGGATCTGCCTCCTACTGACGCCATGACAATGCAACACACTTTCAATAGCCCCAGGTGAATGATCTGTTTGCTATGGGGCACCCATCAGGAGGGAGGAGCCAGGAGCACCAGCGGGGGACCCAGGAAGAGGAGGATCCCGGCTGCTCTGTGCAAAACCACTGCACAGAGCAGATAAGTATAATAACATATTTGTTTAGTATCACTTTAAATCAAGCTTAAAGCAACAAATAAAGTTTACTCACCTCTCCTGCTGCCCGCTTCTCCACCAATAATAAAGACAAATTATGCCGGAAGACTCTTTAGAACCCAACACTTCCAGGAGTGTCGATTTCC